CAGTCCAGGACAGAGTCTTCTCTGGGCCAGCCTTGGTCAAATTCTTCTCTAGGCCAGCCCTGGGTCAGACTCCTCTCCTGTCTAGACCTGGGCAGTCTCCATTCAGGGCCAGCCCTGGCCAGATTCTTCTCCTGTCCGAGCCTGGCCAGACTCCATCCAGGGCCAACCCTGGCCAGACCCCTCTGAGAGCCAGACTTGGCCAGACTCCATCCAGGGCCAGGCTTGGCCAGATTCCTCACTACATCCTACATGCCCAGACAGCCCACCAGATCAGGCTAGGCCAAATTGTTCATTGGACCAGACCTGGCCAAACTGCCCACCTGGCCAAGCCTGATCAGATTTGTCACTCTGCCCATCCTGGCCAGAATTCCCACCAGACTCAGCACAGGCAGGCTGTCCACCAACTCCAGCATGGTTAGATTTCCCTCAGAGCCCAGCCTAGCTAGAATGTCCACCACAACAGGTCTGCCCAGACTCATCACCAAACCCATCTTGGACAGACTGCCCCAGAGGTCTAACTTGGCCAAATTGTCCAGGGTCCCAGGCTGGCTAGACTACTGGCCAAACTACCTGTCAGACCCCTCCTTGGGCCCTAGGTTGACAGACTACTTTCTGGGCTCTGGGTGTACTGACTCCTCCCACCATCCAGGGTGGACAGGCCCCTCCCTGTACCAACGATAGGCAGGCCCATCCCAGGGCTCAAGGTGGACAGATTCCTCCTTGGATGAAGGGTGGACAGACCTCTCCCTGGGCCCAGAGTGTATAGATGCCTCTCTGACCCTGGAATGGTCACATTCCTTGGGCTGGGCTTGGCTAGACTCCCAGGGAGAGACTAGAACTAGGGGGGCTCATTGGTTCAGGCAATGTCCCTCTGCCTTTTCCCTTTGACTCAAGGTCTGCTGTGAAGCTGACCTAGCCTACCCTGTTTCTTAAATTCTTACAAATTTAATAACCTCTGTTATTCATTAAAATATATTAGTGTTTATCCTTTTTTTAAGAGGGGGAAAGATAGAATATAAAATTTAACAATAGCCAATTCAATTCAGAAAGCACACTATTAAGTGCCTACTAATGAGGCACCAGGGACAGAAATAAAACATTCCTTCTCCAGGAACTTATATTCTATTGGGGAAGAAACAATTTATATATAGAAAATGAAAGATCCAATGTATACCAAGTGATTTCTGTGAGTAGAGTGCATTCTAATATAAGCAACAGGTGGGGGCAGGGAGGTGGTTCTAGAGGGCACATGGAACAGGGATGCAGGCAGGATGGAGTTGACACAGACAGGTATGATGAGCAGAGAATAGGGACCGGGGAAGAAAACTTGTCCTAGGCAGCCTACGATTCAGTCATAGGGATTTTAAATGACATCCATAGGGCTAGAGAGATTGTCAGGCCTTCACAGCAGTAATGGTGATATTGGTTTAATTATCAATCCCTGAGCAAGAAAACATAAGGGCAGGGTTCTTTTTTTTCCTGTTGAGGGCCACTGACTGAGAAAAAAAGGATGGAAGCTCCCTAGGAGCAGAAACTACGGTCAGTTTTGTTGTTGAATGATGGCACCCTCCTTCCCAAACTACCCTCCTTTTAACTGGTTTGTATTTATTCCACTTGGATTTATTCTGTATGTGGAGCTCTTGTTTCCCTGTTAGAACATAAGCTCTTTGAGAACAGAGATGGTTTCATTATATCTATCTCCAGCACCTAACACAGTGCCTGGCACATAGTAGGTGTATAAATAAATAAATGCTTGTTGATTGATTTAAAGACTGTTTGCCTGATTCATAGCATAGTCTGTCGCACGGCCTGGCCTAGTTGCTGTTCCCTGTACCCAACACTCCATCTCCTATATCTGTGCCTTTGGCTGCCTGTCCACCATGCGTAGAATGCTCTCCTACCTCACCACTGCCTCATAGGATCTGAGGCTTCTGTCAAACATTTAGCTCCAGTGTCACCAAGAGGCCTTTTCCAGTCCTTGAAGCTGCTATGCCTTCCCTTCTAAGGTCACAACTCAAGAGGGACGTAGTTCTGGTTCTTCTGTAGGCCATTAAGCCAACCCCCAAAGTTCCCTAGAATGCTGGGGGAAATTGGGAAGGAGGAAGGGCACCTCCTACACTTGCATCAGTTCATATATATCACCCCATGTTTCTAGGAATTTTTAATATTTGCCACTTATGTCATTTATCGTATTTGTACAATAGTATTCCGTCATTAACATACCAAATTCCTTCAGCCACTCAACCAATGATCAACCACTTTGTTTTTAGTCTTTTGATATCACACACAAAATTTTTTTTGCTCTCGTTACTTGTTTTCTTTCTAAGTTTAATTACCAATGATTCTAAAAGTATTTCTCCTTGACTTGTTTTCCAGTTTGGTTGTTTCTGATATCAGATCTTATATTTTCTTCTATTTTTCACTCTTTGATTTTGTTCTAATATTTTATGCTGTGTCATGAGGTCATTGATTTATTTTTTTCTTTTTCTTTCTTTCTTTATTTTTAACATTTATTTAAGATTTTTTTGAGGTCTGAATTCTCTCCCTCCCTTCCACCCCTAAACCAACATTGAGAGGGCAAGCAATATTCTATCAATTATACATGTGAAGTCATGTAAAAAAATATTTACTTATCAGCCATGTTGCAAAAAAAAAATATCAAGAAACATAAAGAAAGTGAAAAAAGTATGCTTCACTCTGCAGTCAGAGTTCATTAGTTCTCTCTGGAGATGGATAGCACTTTTCATCATGAGTCTTTTGGAATAGTCTTAGATCATTGTATTGATCAGAGTAACCAAGACTTTCACAGTTGATCACAATATTGCTGTTACTGCTTCTGCTCACTTCACTTTGCATCAGTCCATATAAGTCTTCCTAGGTTTCTCTGAAACTTCCTGCTTGTCGTTTCCTATAGCACAATAGTCTTCCACTACAATCATGTACATAACATGTTCAGCCATTTCCTAATTGATGGACATTCCCTTAATTTCCAATTTATTGCCAACACAAAAAGAGCTGGTATAAATATTTTTGTACATATAGGTCCTTTTCACTTTTCTTTGATCTCTTAGTAGTTGTATTGTTGGGTCACAGGGTTTGCATAGTCTTATAGCTCATTGGGCATAGTTCCAAATTGTTCTACAGAATGGTTGGACCAAATTATTGATATTTCTTTGTTCTATTTTAGTTTTCAGAGAGTCTATTTCTTGGCTAAGGTTTTTCACTTTTTCATCTAAGTCACTTATTCTCCTTCTAATTCTTTCCTCTAGAAGTTTTATTTATTTCTTTAATTTCTTGCTTCATTTCTTCTAGTTAGTAATGTAGCCCTTTTGGAAAGTCCATTTTTTTCCTTTGTAACATTAGAGTTGTTACAGGGTTACTCTCCCCTTCTGGGGGATCTCTAGATTTGTAATAATTTTTAAAAATAAGTTTTTATTGATGGTTTCTCTTTCTAACATCACCAGAACATCCCATGTGTTTCTCCCCCTACCCCTTCCCTAGAGCCATCCTATATTAAAAATAGTATTTTTTAGGAGCAGCTAGCTGGTGCAGTGGATACAGCACCAGCCCTGGATTCAGGAGGACCTGCGTTCAAATCCGGCCTCAGACACATAACACTTACTAGCTGTGTGACCCTGGGCAAGTCACTTAACCCTATTGCCTAAAATAACAAAAAAAAATAGTATTTTTTTAGAGAGGAAAAAAAGTCAGCACAACTGATTGATATGTTGAAAAAGTCCAAAAACATGTGCAATGCATAACACTTGTGGACCTTCCACTCCCACAAAGGGGTAGGTTGTGGGTGTCTTCTAATATCCCTTCATTTGAGTCCTATTTGATTTTATATTTTTGTTACGTTTCATTTTCATTTTTGGTGTGTCACTCTTTCCATTTACATTATTATAGTTACTGTGTATATTGTTATCTTCTGCTCACTTTACTTCACATCAGTTCATACAGATCTTTCCATGCTTTTCTGCATTCATCACACACCTTACTTATCACAGCACAGTAATATTCCATTATATTCATGTACCATAATTTGTTTAGCCATTTCTCAGATGATCAACATCTACTTTGTTTCCAATTCTTAACTCTCACCAAAAGTGCTGCTGTAGGTATTTTGGAGTATATGGGGACTTTTTTCTTTTTGAAGACTTCCTTAGGGTATAAACCCAGTAATGGAGTCGCTAGTTCAAAGGGTATGGACATTTTAGTCACTTTATTTGCCTACTTCCAAATTGTTTTCCAAAATGGCTATACCATTTCACAGTTCCACCAACATTATATTAGTGTGCCTAACTTCCTACAACCCTTCTAATATTGACTGTTGCCATTTTTTGTCATTTTTGCTAATTTATAGGGTGTGAGGTAAAACCTCAGGGTTGTTTTGATTTGCATTTCTCTTACTATTAGTGATCTGTAGCATTTTTTCATGTGACTGTGAATACTTTGCAGTTATTCTTTTGAGCCCTGTTTGTTCACATCCTTTTCTTTCTCTTTCTTTCTTTCTTTCTTTCTTTCTTTCTTTCTTTCTTTCTTTCTTTCTTTCTTTCTTTCTTTCTTTCTTTCTTTCTTTCTTTCTTTCTTTCTTTCTTTCTTTCTTTCTTTCTTGGCAATGGGGGTTAAGTGACTTGCCCAAGGTCACACAGCTAGTAAGTGTCTGAGCCCCAGGTCCATCTGACTCCAGGGCTAGTGCTCTATCCACTGTACCACCTAGCTGCCCCAGTTCATATCCTTTTTTTTTTTTACCATTTATCTATTGGGGAATGGTTATTACTCACATGTACATGTGTATATGTATGTGTATAAATATATAGATATAGATACATATCATACACGTCCCACACTACACTAACATGAATTTAAGATTTCATTTACAAGCAAAAACCACTGTCCTCATAATTTCAGGGTGCACGGGTTTTCAGGGAATCCTCTCTTGCTACTGTTCATTTTTCTGATCAAGTGAATATACAGAATCCTGAAAGCTTTAGACTAACCTCTTGTGGTCAGGTGTCATCATGCCATCCACACTAGGCAGGGTTCCAAATCTCTGGTCAGTGGTACATCATCAGAAGATGATGCAAATCTGCAAGAACAGAAGAGGACTTGAGATCTAAAAGAATCTTTGAGGTTGTCTCTAATCCAATCCCTTCATTGTACAAACGGGAAAATGGAATCTCAGAAAAGGGAAGGGACTTGGTCAGAAATCACACAGGTGGTGAACTGAAGAGCCCATGTAGGCTATTTGTTCAGTTGTTTCAGTCATGTCCAACTCTCCCTGACCCCATTTGGGGTTTTCTTGGCAGAGATACTGAAATGGTTTGCCATTTCCTTCTCATTTTACAGATGAGTAAACTGAAGCAAACAGGGTTAGGTAACTTAAGTGTCTGAGACCAGATTTGATCTCAGGAAGATAAGTCTTCCTGACTCCAGGCCTGGCACTCTATCCACTGCACCACTTAGCTGCCCCATTGTGGGAAGTAGTGTCTGGCAATTCTTTTTATTTCCTCTATGCTCATTGCAAGTTTACCTCGTTCAATTTTTATTTTGATAATTTGATCTTCCTTTCACTATTCTTGTCCAAGTTAGTTAATGATTTATCATTTTTGTTAGTCTTGAAAAAAACCAGCTTAGTTTTGTTGATTATTTCTAGTTTCTTTGTTTTCAATTTTATGGTTTATAGGATCATAGCTATACAGCTAGAGATAAATCTCCTTATTTTAAAGCTGAGGAAACTGAGGCCCACAGAAGTTAAGAGATAAGGTGTCAAAGACAGTAAATGACTGCCAGTCTGTTAACCTCAGCTAGTCATTTAGCATTTATTAAGGGCAAGGCACTGTGCTAAGATACAATGAAAGGCTAGAAACATTCTCTGCTGCAAAAACTACGTAAAGAGAAGATAAAGACCTCTCTTCCTCTCTTTTCTCCTGCCCCAAGCTCTTTCCCACAGTCTTTGAAGAGTGGAACTACAAGATGAATAGACCTCCGAGCGAGCCTAGAGCGACCCCCGGAAGTGCGTCACGACAGGAAGTGGGCGGGGCTTCACAGCTTGACTTCCGCGTCCGGTGCGTACATGCTGCTGTTGCCGTGGTCGACTTAGTTTCGGGTGAGTTGAGTGTTAGTTGAGTGGGCCTCTCGATGGGTCGGAACCAGCCTCCCTCAGCCTACCCTAGCCTCTCCCTGACTCCCTTTGGGGCCACTCTTTCTGCTCTGCCCGTGCTCTGACCAGTCGTTGCTGACCAATTATGCCTCAGCGTCCCCCGCCCCAATAGAACACTGCTCTGGCCACTCAGAATTTCTGGGTTCGTCTCCGCACCAAGGCAGACACAAGCCCGGCTCCTGGATTTAGCATCTGCGCCCCTGAAATCAGATCGCTCTTGACCAAGGTTGGGGAGGGGTAGGGAGAAGAGGGGATCCGGAAAGGATCCAATCTGTCTCCTTCCCTTCCCTGCCAAGCTTTTAGAATATGATCCTTGCCTCTATTATTCCCTTATCAACCACTCACTTTTCTACTCGTGACTTTTTGTGCGTTATTTTTGGAAATAAATTTATATTGCTTTTTTTGTTTTTATATTACCAACATTTTTCAATTTGCCCCTCCCCCATTCTCTTTGACAGCCATGTCTGAAAACAACTAATAAAAAAGTGGGGGAAAAAATCTAGCAGAACTAACCAACATTTCAAAAAAGTTTGACATTATATACAGTGTGTCCCATATCCACAGCCCCCTGCCCCCTTTCTGCGAAGGTGAGGAGAGCTTTCTGGTGCCTCATGTAGGACGGGGCTTTATTGTTATAGTTTTGTTTGTTTCTCATTGTTCTTTCTGTTTTGTTGTATGTATATTGTTTTCCTGATTTTGCTTACTTCACGTTGCTTCATTTTGTATACATTTTCCCATGCTTCTGTGTGTTCATCATAGAAATCCTTTCTTTTCTTTTTTTTTTTGCTTTTTGGTGAGGCAGTCAGGGTTAAGTGACTTGCCCAGGGTCACGTAGCTAGAAACTGTCAAGTGTCTGAGGCTGGATTTGAACTCAGGTCCTCCTGACTCCAAGGCCAAAGCTCTGTCCACTGGGCCACCTAGCTGCCCCCATATCCATTCCTTCTTATAGCAAGACATTCCATTACATTCATATACCACAACTAATTTAGCTCTTCTGCAATCATTTCAACTTATTGTGATATGACTAGAGCTGCTCTCTCCAAAGTCACCTTTCAGTAATAACCAGATTCACTGGCCTTTCCTCTTCTGTTTTCTTATTTGTCTTTGTATCTTTTTTATCTTGCTGATTCATAGTGATGGACTGTGATTGCCTGGGCAGGTGGGCATAGGGACTATACTTATGATCTCATTGGTCTAGGGAGCTCCTGGATGAGGAAATTCCTTCTACCAGTGTCCCTGCTCTGCAGCTTAGAGGAGAGTTTAGGACTTACTCAGCATCAGCACAGGCAGCAGAGGTGGGTCTTGAACCCAGGTCTTGGTTCTAAGGCAGCTCTCCAGCTAGCATGCCACTCTGTCTCTCAGTTGCTGGAAAGAAAACATAAAGAGCATTTAATGATAATCCAGTCTGCTTATTTTACAGATGAGAAAACTGAGGCTGCTAAACGGTGAAGGGTCTTGCCTAACGTTTTGTGGTTACTGGGGATTTGTACTCAAGTCCACTACGTTATGCTCAGACTCTTTGAACTTTTTTCAACATTTGAAAGAAATCCTAAAACCTCTGGCATGCAAAGGTAATCACTAAAGTAGATGATATTTAGGCTTCTCAAGCAGTATATCTAAAACATTCCTTATTTATCTTTCCCCTAAAACCTGTCCTTCCACCAAACTTAGCTATTTCTTTTGAGAACACCATCATCCTTTTAGTACCCCCGAGTTCAGAACTTCAGAATCATCCTCAACTCTTCCCTCTCCTTCATCCTCCATATTCACGGAGTTGTCAAGTCTATGCCACCTCCATGACTGGTGTCTCTTCCTTCCTCTCTACTCACATAGCCAGTAACCACATCAGCCCTCATATTATGAGGCCTCCTACTTGGGCTATTGCAGTGCAGTAGCCTTCTAACTGGACTCCCTGCAATTATCCTTTCTTTTCTTTTCTTTTTAAGTTTTTACATAATTTATGCTCTGATGAAAAATTATCTTCATGGATAAACATCATCCATAGTGCCTTTTATTCCTTCTGTTGTGAAATCTCCAGCTCACTTTTTGCCAGCACCGACATTTGCCTTTGCAGTACCTCTGACTTTCTTCATTCTGTTCTCACGTTCCTTTTGCTGTTTTCTTGATGTCTTTTTCTTCTCATACCGGCCATGCCTTGCAAGTCTGTGCTTTGGTTCATTTTTCTTTGCATAGTCCAGGGAATCATAAATCATGCCAAAGCCTGTTGTTTTGCCACCACCAAAATGGGTTCTGAATCCAAAGACAAAAATGACGTCTGGAGTTGTCTTGGCCAGTTGTTCTTGAATTTCAGTCTTGGGCACTGTGGCCTTTCTAGAATGAAGGACATCTATAACCATCTGTTTATGCTGAAGAAGTCTGTTTGTCATGAACTTCTTGGTGGCCGGCTCCTTGAGCAGCAGGAGAGGGAAAGGGTGCAGTTATCCTTTCTAATCTGTGCTTCTAAGAGCTGCAAAAATCATCTTCCTCAAGCACACTTCTAATTATGTTACTATACCCAAGAATTTTCAGTAGTTCCCTGTTAGAGTCATAGGTTTTAAAGCTGGAAGGGACATTTGAAGCTATCTAATTCAACTTTCTCACTTTATGGATAAGAAACTTCGGCCCTGAGAGTTTCAATGACTTGCCTAAGGTCCCAGAGGTAATAAGTAGCACAGCTTGGCTTTGAACCACTCTCTCCACTGTACCATACTGCCTTACCATACCAAATTCCTCAGCTTAGTACTTAAAGCCTTTCACAGTCTGGCTCCATCCTTCTTTTTCCAGACCTAATTCCCATTACTTTTCTTCATGTACTCTTATTTGCAGTCTAACTGGCCTACTTAGATGGTCTCCCTCCTGGCCTCTGCATCTTAGAATCTTTAGCCTTCTTCAAGGCCTGACTAAGAAGGGCGACACTAGCAAGTTAATCTACCACCTCCTGTTGGGAGCCATTACAGAACCACCTCCTATGATTAGTTGTTAGTGTTCTTTCCTTCCTAAAATGATCATTTTACTTCTCTGTGTATATGTTGTGTCCTCTGGAAGTATGTATGCAACTTTAGGGCAGATAGTGGTATTTTTTTTTAATCTTATCCTTACATCTATACAATAGTGGGACAATTCCTCCCCTTAAGGACATTACTATGTAATGGGGGAGACGATTTATAAAGGAGTAGTGGCCAGGGAAGAATATTTTGGTCTGGGAAGTCTCTAGGGGTGTTAAGTGGGACAACAGGGCATGCCCTTTCCACAGGCTATGGTAGTTTTGATTTGATTACAGTTCTTACAAGATGGGAGGAAGAGAGGGTGGGGCTAGGGGCAGGGGGGCAAAAGGCCAGGGGTATGAAGATGAGGATGCATGGGTCCAGGCAGTTCAAAGCTGAGGAGCTTTGCTTCTCCAGGTCTGTTTTCTGGAAGTCAGGATGGAGCAGCAATAGTGGGGGACAGGGGATGGGGAGTTGGGGTGAGAAGGAATATCTGAGATGAAGGTAAGAACACACATCCCAGACATGATGCTCCTCTAAGCCTAAATTGGCTTCTTTGCATCTTCTATACATTGCTTCTAGTTCTGCCCTCTGGGGCCATGCAGGACAAGGCCAACCCTTCTTCTCCTTGAGCACTCTTCATATACTTGCAAACGAGTTATTCTGGCCCACAGGCTAAACATCCCCAGTTTCTTCAAGCAGTTTTCAAGTTGTATGATCTATTCCAGCTTATACCTAAGCAGGAATCCCTGTAATAATGTCTTTAACAAGTCCAACCTCACCCTCTGCTTAAAGACCTCCATTGATGGGGACCTCACTGCCTCATTTTGTTGTGTTGTTGTCATTTCAGTCATGTCTGACTCTTCACACCCAATTTGGGGTTTTCTTGGCAAAGATACTGGAGTGATTTGCCATTTCCTTCTCTAGCTCATTTGACAGATGAGGAAACTGAGGCAAACAGGGTGAAGTGACTTGCCCAGGGTCACAGAGTTAGTAGGTGCCTGAAGCCAGATTTGAACTTGGGAAGATGAGTCTTCCTGACTCCAGGCCCAGCACTCTATGTACTACAGTGCCACATAGCTACCTTATTACGGAGCTCAGTCTTGAGCCGTTTTTTCTTCGGCAGCACTGTGGTATAGTGAGAAGATCACTTGTGTTGGAGTCAGGAGAGATCTGATTTGAATTTTGCCTCCAACATTGACTAGGTGTGTAATAGCCGTGGGCAAATCACTTCACTGTCCTGAGCCTTATTGTCTTCATCTATAACATGAGGTCATTACATGTAGTAGGGTTAGGGTTAGGCTACAGTGAGACCATATACATAAAGAACTTTGCAAACCTTAAAGTGTTATGTAAATGTCAGCTCCTGATGCCGTTATTCTTTCTCCAATGCTCCACTGAAGGGCTTGTGTCCAGCCTTTTTATTGGTCTCCTTGACTTCTCTACCATGTTTCACATTGTGATGAATGCTTATTAAATGAATTTCCATCTTTATATCTTCTCTTCCCTTGACTTCCATGATCCTGTACTCTCCTCTTTATCTACTGATCCTTCTGTCTTCTTCACTAGTCCTTTTCAGAGTCCTTGAAATGTAGACATACCCCTACATGTTCTCCTTTGGGGGTTCTTATCCATTTCTTTGGCTTTAGCATCCACAGCTAATCTCTATCCTTGCCATTTCCCTAGAGCTCCAAGCTTGTGTCTAACTGCCTCTTAGACATTGCCACATCATGTCCCACTGATTACTGAATCCAAAATGGGACTCATCATCCTTCCCAATCAATTTGACCTTCCTTTTGACTTTGTCTTCTTAGTAATAGCATCACCATCTTCCCCACCACCCAGTCAGGAGTGAAACCTTGGAGTCAGATTCCTGGAGTCTCACAGTTGGAAGGAATTAGCAATAAAGAAGCTAAGATGAAGGACAATTTCTTGAGCGAGCATTCCCCCCAGCAGTATCCTTGATAAGTAGTCATCCAGCCTGTGCTTGAAGACCTCCAGTGCTAAGCAACTTGCTATCTCATATGTCGTCTCATTTCCTAGCTCTGATTGTTAGGAAGTTTTTCCCCGTATGGTATCAAGACCTCCGTATGTAATTTCGGTCCATTGTTTCTGGCCTTCAGGAGGCTCAGTGAAACGAAATCTAATGCCAACTTTTCAAGTGAAAGTCCTACAAATAGTTGAAGGTGGATATCATGTCTACCCCCACCCCCATCCCCATTAAAGTCTTCTCTCTAGACTCAACATCCCCAGTTCTTCTAAGTACTCCTTGTGAAATGTAATTTCCAGTTCCCACACCATTCAGTTTGCTCTTCTCTGGACAAGCTCTAGCTTGTTGATGTCCCTCCTAAAATTTGATGCCTAGAACTAAGTCCAGTACTGGAGATATGGTCAGACCAGAGTACAAGGGACTAGAATCTTATCACTCCAGTCTCAAGATTGCATCAACATATTTGGTTGCCATTTCACGCTCTTGACTAATTGAACTTTTATGCCATTAAAATCCACAGGAATTTTTCCTAAATAAACTGCTGTCTACCCATGTCTCCCCTTGTCCATTTTTGTCTAGTTTACTTTTTGTGTCTCCATGTAGGACTTGGTATTTCCATGTGTATTACCTTAATACTTCACGATTTCATCAGTTTGACTCTCCATTTTCTACTGATGCAGATTGCAGCCTTTCAATGACTTGGCATATCATCTTTAAGAATTCCTTTGGCCCCAAAATGGATTGCTCTCCTCCCTAACTGATGATAAGACTCTCCAGACTTAGTTAGGTTTGTCTTCTGATGACAGATATGGCAGGCCCATCACCAGGCCTAGACATGGCCCCTTTCCAGGTTGGTGGTACTTGCCAGAACTTGCACTAAAATGGCATAGCCCTTCAGAGCCTAGGCTTACCTCCAGGTGCTGACAATGGAATAGGACTTTAGTAGACACTCAGTGACATAATGACTGGAAAGTTCTTTGTGAGCTTTAAAGGGCTGGGAAAGTGTTAGCTTTTGTATTTATCTTTTACTCTGCCCTACCCCCTCATCCAGTCAGTGGCCATATCCTTTCCATTCTACCTCAATTTACTTAGGTCAGCAAGCATTTAGGGGCAGCTAGGTGGCGCAGTGCATAGAGCTCCAGCCTTGGAGTCAGGAGGACCTGGGTTCAAATCTGGCCTCAGACACTTGACACTTAACTAGCTGTGTGACCCTGCGCAAGTCACTTAACCCCAATTGCCTCACCAAAAAAAAGCAAAACAAAAAAAACAACAAAAAAACCCCAAGCATTTAGCAAGCACCTATGGATAACCAACCATAAACATTAATTAAGTACTTATGGTATGTATTAATACTTTGGTCGTTTCAGGTTGCAGAGATTGAGCACCTGATCACCTAGTATAACTCCCTGTCAGCCCCTGAGCTGGACCTGGACCAGGCCGGGGAGAGCAGTGTGGCCAACTGGAGGTCCAAGTATGTCAGCCTGAGCGAGGAACAGTGGAAGGACAATGTGAACCTGGCCTGGAGCATCTCCCCACACCTGGCCGTGCAGCTGCCCTCCAGGTGGGTGCCTGGGAAGGAGGCAGGGAGACGGCCCCAGCGAAGCCATATAGGGGTGGGAGGCAGCTGGGCAGCCCCCTTGGGGCCATCCCTGTGTCCGTCCATGAGGATGAAAAGCTTATGGTGAGATTGGAAAGGCAGGGGGTTCCTGAATGCCAGGCCAAGGAGGCTGGGCAGAAAAGGCTGCCAAGAAAATGATGTCCGGCAAACCTCAACATGCTGCACATTAGCTATTGTTCTTGTTCCCTGTGGGCAGCAGAAGGCCCTGAGGGCTTCAGAAAAACAGGAGGGGTTGTTCTTCCCTCCCAGACTGTGCCCCAAGGGAGGCAGGCTGGTGGGGAGTCACAGAGTGGCGAGCCTGGCCTTGGGGCCGGGAGAACTTGACTCTGCCCTCTTCCTTCATGCCCTGGCCCAGGGCCCAGGTCCAGGCACGCAGCCCCAAGCCAGTCTAGTCCAGTCTGGGCAGCTCTCGGGAACGTTGGAGGGGCCGAGCAGGACTGATCTGCCGTGGCAGGGGGCTTCCCCTCCTGGACTGAGCAGGCACTAGCCCTGCCCCTGGCCAGAGGAGAGACTGGTCTCTGCCTTCTTGGTGCCCTCTAGGCTGGTCAGAGTTCTAGGCAGTGAGGATACAGATGCATTAGTCAAGCAGTTCCTGCTCTCCAAGAGTTTATGTGCTACTGGAGACACTGGTATGCTTTGTGCCAGGGGCCAGCCTTACTCTGGAGTTGTCCTTCCCATTTTCACTTCCCTGCCACCACCCTATTTCAGGTTCTTAGAACATCAGCTCTGGATGGACAGAGAGGAATTGGCCTTTACCAGGATCCAGACTCAGGTGAAAGCAGGCCAGGACTTGGAATCCAGGTAGATCTGAACGGTTAGGGAAAATCCCATGGTTCAGTTTCCCAGTGGTCAAATCGAGGAGTGTGATAGCATACAAAGAAGGGGCCCCTGGGATTCAGGAGACTTGAGTTTTAGTTATGGCTCTGCTGAGAACTATCTGTATGACATGGGGCAAGTCATATCTCCATGCAGGACCTCAATTTCCCCCTCTGTATGTAAAATGGGAGGGCAGGACAAAGTGACTTCTATGATTCTTTCTAGCTCTAGACCCTGTGATGTTATTGCAAGAGTATTCCCACTTTTCACATTGGATATAATCTTTCCCCTTCTGTAGTGATATCTTGGAGATTTAGTATATTTTAAAATATATTTAAACTGACAGGTTTAAAAAGCAAACATTTGAACCTGTAAATGTCTGAAAGTCATTCTTTTAATATTTAAAAATGGTTAACTATTTATTACACATGTTGCTTTCTCAGTAGCTTTCCTCACAATAGTGGCTTCAGGAGCAGCAGAGGAGTCCACCTCCTAGCTCACCCATCATTGATTAACTATTCATCACCTGGACACGTCTTTGTGAACCCAGCCCCCTACTGTTCTTTCCTTTGCCATCTCTTCTTTTACTGTGTCCTGGCCAAAAGGTAAGGAAACCCTTACACCTGTGTCTCCTCCATTCTCTTCTGGTTACATGGGAACCCCAACTAGGCACGGTCATTTCCTCTCACATACTACTGTATCTAGCTGAGGGTCATGGCTTCCAGTGACATTGCTTAGCACCATGGGGTCAGAATACTAACTTTAAGATGATGTGGAAGCACTGAAATGGGAGAATAGCTGCTCAAGGGTCCCTCTGAGTCCATTCTCAGTCTACCATTCATGTCTGTTTATTTTCTCTTAGTTACTTGTTAGCAGTTAGGGCACATTTTCACTAGGTGAGCTTGTAACTAGACTGGGTGATCTGAACATCAGTAATTGAGGCACCGATGAAAATGCTTTTGCATTTCCCTTTTTAAAAACAAATTCGGGGTAGCTAGGTGGCGCAATGAATAGAGCACTGGTCCTGGAGTCAGAAGGACTTAAGTTCAAATCCAGCCTCAGACCAAACACTTGACACTTACTAGCTGTGTGACCCTGGGCAAGTCACTTAATCCCAACTGCCTTGCAAAAAAACCAAAACAAAACAAAAAAACCCCAAAACTACAAATTCTTTATTAACCACTTGAACTTGGAAGTCTTCAACAGTAATCTCAAACATTCTCTTGTTAAAATGAAATCCACATAGGATCATCTCTTAATGAAAATCACAAGGAAGGGGCAACTAGGTGGCGCAGTAGATAGAGCACTGGCCCTGGAGTCAAGAGGAGCTGAGTTCAAATCCAGGCTAAGACACTTAACACTAACTGTGTGACCCTGGGCAAGTCACTTAACCCCATTGCCTAATCAAAAAAAAAATTTAAAAAAAAAGTTGCATAGCCTAGAATGATAATAATGAGACAAAATACCAAAACTTATCTGATGCAGTAAAACCATTAATTTGAGGAAGATTTATATCTCTAAATGTTTACATCAGTAAAATAGAGAAATAGTAGATTAATGAATTGGATGTACATTTTTTTTTTGTGAGGCAATTGCCCCTGGATATCCAATTTAAAAAGCTAGGAAAGGAACGAATTAAAAATCCCCAATTAAGGGGGCTGCTAGGTGGCACGGTGGATAAAGTGCTGGCCCTAGAGTCAGGAGGATCTGAGTTCAAATATGGCCTCAGACCAGACACTTGACACTTAACTAGCTCTGTGACCTTGGGCAAGTCACTTAACCCCATTGCCTAGCTCTGCCCCCCCCCCAAATCCCCAATTAAACACCAAATTGGAAATCCTGAAAATTAAAGGTGAGATTAATAAAATTGAATGCGAGAAAATCATTGAATTAATAAATAAAACTAGGAATTGGTTTTATAAAAAAAAAACAAAATAGATAAAACATTGCTTAATTTGATTAAAAAAAGAGAGAAGGAAACCAAGTCACTAGTGTCAAAAATGATAAAAGACCACTGTTGTTCACTTGCTCAGTTGTGTTCAACTTTTTGTGACCCCGTGGACCATAGCACACCAGACCCTTCTACCTCCCACTATCTCTTGGAAGTCTGTCCAAGTTCATGTGCATTGTTTCCATGAAACTATCTATTCTTCTCATCCTCTGCTCTCCTCTTTTCCCTTTGCCTTCAGTCTTGCCAAACATCAGGATTTTTTCCAGTGAGTTCCATCTTTTCTTTATATGGCCAAAGTATTTAAGCTTCATCTTCAGCATTTGATCTTCCAGTGAATAGCCTGAAATTAATTTCTTTAAGTATTAACTGATTTGTTCTACTTGCTGTCCAAGGGATTCTCTTTCTTTTCTCCCCCCCCTCCCCGAAGGCAGTGAGGTTAAGTGACTTGCCCAGGGTCACATAGCTAGTGAGTGTTATGTGTCTGAGGCCGGATTTGAACTCAGGTCCTCCTGACTCCAGGGCCGGTGCTCTATCCACTGTGCCACCTAGCTGCCCCTCAAGGGATTTTCAAAAGTTTTCGCCAGCACCACAATTTGAAGGTATCAATTCTGTGGCTCTCAGCTTTCCTTATAGTCCAACTCTCACAACCATACATTGTTACTGGAAAAACCATAGCTTTGACCATATGACCTTTGTTGGCAAGATGATGTCCCTTGCTTTTTAGTCTGCTGTCCAGCCATGGTTTTCTTTCCAAGGAGCAGGCATCTTTTAATTTCATGGCTGCAGCCACCATCTGCAGTGATCTTTGAGTCTAAGAACATAAAATCTGACACTACTTCCATTTCTTCTCCCTCTGTTTGCCAGGAAATGATGGGATCAATTGCCAAGATCTTAGTTTTTTTTTTTCCGATGTTAAGGTGCAAGCCAACTTTTATACTTTCCTCTTTCACCCTCATCAAGAGGTTTATTAATTCCCCTTCACTTTCTGCTATCAAAGTGGTATTATCTGCATATGTGAGATTGTGGATATTTCTCGCAATAACCTTAATTCCAGCTTTTGATTCATCCAGCCTGGAATTTCCTATGATGTGCTCTGCATATAAATTAAATAAGTAAGGTGATAATATGCAGCCTTGTCACACTCCTTTTCCAATCTTAAACCAATCAGTTGTTCCATGTTTGGTTCTAACTGTTGCTTCTTGACCCTCATAGAGGCTCCTCAGGAAACAAGTCAGATGGATGATCTGGTCCTCCCATCTCTTTGAGGACTTGCCGCATTTTCTTGTGATCCACACGATCAAAGGCTTTAGTGTCATCAGTGAAGCAGAAGTAGATGTTTTTCTGGAACTTTCTGGAACTGCTTTTTCCATAATCCAGTGAATGTTGGCAATTTGGTCTCTAGTTCCTCTGCCTCTGAAAACCAGCCTGCTCTTCTGGTAATTCTTGATTCAATATTGCTGAAGCCTAGCTTGCAGAATCTTAAGCGTAACCTTGCTGGCATGTGAAATGAGTGCAATTGTTTGGTAATTTGAATTGAAGTACTGAACTCCATGTACTGAACTCCATTTTGTTTTCTGACCTCCATCTTCTATGGCCTCCTTCACGGAAGTAGGAGTTCCTGCCTTAGAAGTTCCCCCCTTAGGAGTTCCCACCTTAGAAAACCCACCAATAAGGATATCCGCCCCAGTCTATTTCATGATCCTTATATGGTCCCAAAAGCAGGATTAACCAATCGCTTGTTTGGCTTCTGTAACTTCCTGCTTACGCAACCCCTGACCGTTTACTCTGTGGCTTCTGCCTTTATAAACCCAAGCTCTACCCCTGATCAGGGCTGCTCGATCTGGGTGTGTACCCCTTGCAGCCACGCGCTAATAAATCCACATTTCAAATTGTGTCTGGGTCTCGCTTGCTGAGTTTTCGGTACAACATTTTGGAGGCCCCAGAGAGATTCGCGGCACACTGTGTCACTGCAGAGACCCACCTGGGGAAAACTTCGGCCTCGGGAGGGAGGGATTGCTCTGTTCTGACTTTTAGGGGAACCGGCCCCTGAGATGTTCCAGGGCCCCAGAACTCAGGGCTGGGACAAGCCTCCCTCCCCGACTCCGACTGTACCTCATTTCGGCCCTGTGGATTCTGGACCTGGTAACCCTCTGGAGGTGAGTATACCCAGATTTCCGTTCCCTGGTGGAGAACGAGTGTCAGATGCAGCAGTTGCGCTTAGCGCCTCGATCTCCTGGGCACCCCGAGACATCAGTATCACGCCCGTATCTGGTTCCTGGATTCTGTCTTAGTTGTGTTGGTCTATTAGTTTATATGTGTAGAGATTGTGTTTTTAAGAGGTTCTGTTTTGTGATCATCTGTCTGAAGCCACCTCTATTTCATACTGAAAGGCAGGTGTCAGACTGGATCGCAGACAGTTTTCTCCAGGGCAGTTTCTCCGACTTCCATTGGGAGGATGTGTTTGTGTTCAGGCTTTTATTGTTTGTCTGTGTCTGTGTTCTGCGATAATGGGGGGTTCGGCTAGCACACCCAAAACCCCTTTGGGTTGTATGTTGAATCATTTTAAGGAAGTGTATCAGGAAGGGGCAGATTACGGTATTACACTAAAAAAATCGCAACTTACTCTGTTCTGTATGAATGAGTGGCTGACCTTCGGGGTAGGATGGCCACCACAAGGTAGTTTTGACAAGTAAGTGGTGACTGATGTTTGGAAAGTTGTTACTGGAAACCCCGGACACCCTGATCAGTTTGCATATATTGATATCTGGCTGACCCTTGTAACTTACCCCCCTCCCTAGTTAAAACACTGCTCCTTACAGAAAGGCATCCGAGTGCTAGTTGCTCAGCCACAGAAGACTTCTTCCTCTAGTGACCCTCGTAAGGTTCTTCAAGAATCACAGGAAGGAGACTTTCCCCCTCCCTATAACCCGGCCCTCATAGGAATGGCCCCCAATCTCCTCCAAGATTGTATCCTCTTTTGCCTCTATCTGCCCCACTACCCGACTCCTCTGGCCTTCCTGTATCACTGCCCAGCCCTTTATCACCCCCGCACACACGGACGGGGGCCAATTACCACCATGATGACAAACCTGCTCCTGCAGTCCTTCCCCTCCGGGAAGCACCTAACCTGGAGGGTAGCCCCTTTCTATTCTATGTCCCTTTTTCCACTAGCGACATCTTTAATTGGAAGGCACAGAATCCCTCTTTCTCAGAAAAGCCCCAAGCTTTAATTGGATTATTAGAATCAGTCTTCCACACTCATAGACCCACTTGGGATGACTGTCAACAACTTCTCACCACTCTTTTCACTATTGAAGAGAGGGAGAGGATTCAAACAGAGGCAAGAAAGGCTGTCCTGGGGCTTGGTGGAGGGTCAGTGGAAGAACATAGGGATGATGTGGAATGGGTTTTTCCGCCCACACCCCCGAGATGGGACCCAAATACTGCTGCAGGGAGGGACACCTTAGACACTTACCACCGCTACTTCCTCCAAGGCCTCAAGGCAGCGGCTCAGAAGCCCACAAACCTCTCTAAGGTCTCAGAAGTTCTGCAAGGTCCTCAGGAGTCCCCAGGGGCCTTCCTTGAATTTCTGTACGAGGCGTATCACAAGTATACCCCTATAGACTCTGAGGCCCAAGAGAATGCTCGAGCCCTGAATGTAGCTTTTGTCTCCCAGTCCACCCCAGACATTAGGAAGAAGTTGCAGAAACAGGAGGGATTTGAGGGCATGAACATATCCCAGAAATAGCCCAGAAAGTTTTCAATGCCCGAGACAGTCCATCTGAGAAGTCCAATAAGTGCCTAGCCAAAGTTTTAGTAGTAGCCCTTAAAGAGGCCCCATCTTCTTCCGTCCCACGCCAAAAAGGGCTGAGAGGTCCCCGCCCGGCTTTATCTAGAGACCAGTGTGCTTATTGCAAGGAAATTGGGCACTGGAAAGATGAGTGTCCGAATAAGAGACTTCAAAAACCCCCAAGTGTTTTAGCCCTAGGAGATTGAAGGGGCCCAGGGTCTTTCTTGCTTGACCCCTGTGAACCCCATGTAAAGCTTAAGATTGGGTGTCACCCTATCGATTTTCTGGTAAATACTGGGGCTGCCCATTCTGTCCTAACCCATCCGTTAGGCCCCTTGTCCTCAAAAACCACCCCAGTGCAGGGGGCCACAGGGAGTATTTTGTCCTGCCCATGGACTTCCGAGCATACAGTTGATTTGGGCCAAGGTACAGTTACTCACTCATTCCTTGGTATGCCCGATTGCCCCTACCCCCATTGGGTCGTGACCTCCAGAAGCTTGAAGCCACCATATCCTTCAGGGGAGATTCAGCTTCTCTTGACCTCTCTCAGGACTCTACTACTGATTCTCTTCCCTCTATACTTGTCACTCTACCTCTATCCTCTGAGTTTCTGCTGCATGAGGCTGCCACTATGGGTGATGTCAGTCCACATTTGCAGGATCTTCTTGCTTCCTTCCCTGGTGTATGGGCAGAATCCAACCCTCCGGGATTGGCCTCTCACCATCCCCTGGTAGTGGTCCAACTGTTAGCTACTGCTTCTCCTGTGTCGGTCCGTCAGTACCCCATGTTGGCCGAGGCTCATCAAGGCATAGCGGTCCATATCTCCCGGCTCAGAGAGGCTGGTATTCTTGTTCCCTGCCATTCCCCTTGGAATACTCCCCTTCTTCCTGTTCGTAGACCAGGGAACTCTGATTATAGGCCTGTATAGGACCTTCAGGAAGTGAATAATTGGGTGGAGACCATACACCCCACAGTCCCTAATCCCTACACCCTGCTCAGCTCCTACCTGCTGGACATTCAATTTACACAGTCCTCGATCTTAAAGATGCTTTTTTCTCTATCCCTTTGGCCCCCACTAGCCAGCAAATTTTCGCCTTTACCTGGATTGATCCTGGGGGTGGGTTTTTGGGCCAGCTAACATGGACCTGCCTGCCTCAGGGCTTCAAGAACTCCCCAACACTCTTTGATGAGGCCCTACATAAGGACCTTGTCATTCCCTGCCTCTAATCCAAATTGTTCCCTTATTCAATATGTTGATGATTTGCTCCTGGCCGTGCCCTCTGAAGCTCATTGTCTACAAGCAACCCACTCCCTCCTCTCACTATTACAATCTCTGGGCTATAGGGTATCCTCTAAGAAAGCACAGATCTGCCAAACTTCTGTCACCTACCTTGGATACCTTCTCTCTGAAGGTAGGCAGGCACTCCCTATCTAACTCTAGAATCCAGGCCATCCTTGACATCCCCACCCCGACTACCAAGAAGCAGGTGTGTGAATTTTTAGGTACTGTTGGTTACTGTAGACTATGGATCCTTGGGTTCGCTGAGATCACCAAACCTCTTTATTCTGCTACAGCTGGCTCTGGCCCACTTCAGTGGTCAGTTGCTAAAAAGCAGGCTTTTGACTCCCTGAAACAGGCCCTCCTCTCTGCCCCTGCCCTTGCCCTGCCTGACATTACCAAACCTTTCCATCTCTTTGTTGCTGAATCTAAGGGGGTAGCCAAGGGTGTGCTCACCCAAACTCTTGGCCCTTGGCGACGACCAGTGGCTTACCTGTCTAAGCGTCTTGACTCCGTGGCGTCAGGGTAGCCACCCTGTCTCCAGTCGTGGCCACCACGGCACTCCTCGTGAAAGAGGCAGACAAGCTTTCTCTTGGACAGCCCCTCTCTATCACTGCCCCCCATGCTGTGGAGGCTCTCTTCTGCAGCACCCCTGACCACTGGCTTTCCAATTCTCGCCTCACTCAATACCAGGCTCTCCTTGACCAGCCCCGCCTTACCTTCTCGAAAATCTCCATTCTAAATCCCGCAACGCTTCTCCCCGATCCTGGTCCCCATCCCTTTGACGCTCTCATCCATAATTGCTTTCAGCTCTTGGATGAAATTCAGTCTGTCCGTCCCGACCTCTCCGATAGGCCCTTGTCCAATCCCCGAATGACCCTTTTCACAGATGACAGCAGTTTCACTGATTCCGGTCTCCGCCGGGCCAGGGCAGCAGTTGTTTCCTACCCCTCCTTTTCGGTTCTTTGGTCTGCCCCACTGCCCCATGGTACTTCTGCCCAAAGGCTGAACTCGTCTCCCTGACCCAGGCCTTATATTTGGCTACTGGCAGTTCGACGAATGTCTACACTGACAGCTGTTGTGCCTTCGCTACAGCCCGTGTACATGCAGCCTTGTGCTGTGAACGAGGTCTCCTGACCTCGGCGGGGAAAACTATTAAAAATAAGGAGGCAATTTCGGCCTTATTAGAGGCTGTCTGGCTACCTGCTAAGCTGTCCATCATTCCCTGCCCCGGTCACCAATCTGGGAACTCTCTAGAGGCCATGGGAAATTGCGCGGCTGATGCAGCCGTGAGACAGGCGGCCCTGGGAGTTCTACCTGAGTCTTGTGTTGCCCCCTTATGTCCTGTTTTCGAGGCACCCCCACCCTCTTACTCGTCCTCGGATGGTTCCTTCACAAAACAAAAAGGGGGAAGTAAGAACAACCTTGGGTGGTGGGTCCTCCCTGAAGGGTGAGTCTTTGTCCCAGAAGCACTGGGAAGAGAATGGGTCACACGGTTACATCAGATCACCCACCCGGGGGCACGTAAAATGGGCCCACTACTGAGAAACAGGTATTTTATCCCACACTTGGACAACCTCCTGGCCAGTACAACCGCCCGGTGTGGGACATGTGCACAAGTTAACGCAAAGCAGGGAAAAATTACCCCCATGGGGATCAGGCTACGAGGTTTGCAGCCAGGAGAACATTGGGAAGTTGATGTCACAGAAGTGAAGCCCCCAGCAGCAGGCCATAGCTACCTTTTGGTTTTTGTGGATACTTTTTCAGGGTGGGTGGAGGCTTTCTCTGTAAAACATGAAACAGCCACAGCAGTAGTAAAAAAGATCCTGAAGGACCGCCTCCCAAGCTTCAGTCTCCCGATTGGCCTAGGTTCTGACAATGGCCCGCATTTATAGTGAAGATATCTCAAGAATAACAAAAGCCTTAGGAATGGAATGGAAATTGCATTGTGCCTACTGTCCACAGAGCTCAGGTCAGGTAGAAAGAGCCAACCGAACCTCAAGGAATTCCTCACTAAATTGGTCCTAGAGACTTGGTTACTCTCCTTCCACTGGCTTTGCTCCGTAGCCAGTGTATCCCCAACAGACTAGGGCTCACACCCTTTGAAATCCTGTTCGGCAGACCCCCGACAATTCTTCCCTTAATAAGGGAGGAACTCCGGGCGGATGTCACTAATTCTTCCCTAATTAAGTTCCTGCAGGGGCTCCAGGAAACACAGAAGACTCTCCTGAAATCTTTCCGAGACGCCCTACCAGTCCCTACCTCTGAGCCTGTACACGCTTTCAGCCCAAGAGACCCAGTCCTGGTCAAGAAGTACACTGCCCATCTGGCCTGGAACCTAAGTGGAAAGGTCCCTACACCGTGATCCTGACCACTCCAACAGCCATAAAGGTGGACTCTATCCCTGTCTGGCTTCATCATTCACAAGTAAAGGCGGCCGCTTCATCTACTGGTCCTGAGAAATGGGAAACATTACCAGGTCCAGATCCCCTCAAGTTGCATCTCTCCCAATCATCCCCTTCCTAACCTTTTCTTTTGCCCTTCTTTTAATCCCTTGCATTGGACACCCTAATCCCCATGCTCCTTTGCCAAAACCTAAGTGGGTCCTAAAATCCAGGGGGGCTAACCCGAATACACCCTCACTCTGCCTGACTGCCTGCCTGGCCCCCACGGCCCTGGCACCCTCTTCAGTGTTCCCAAACCACCGTGCTCTGGCATCCCTTCCAAACCCTTTCTCTGCCCGGGGTCAAATGTATGTCAGCCTCCTGAGTACTTTGACCCAGCAGCATCTTTTACCCTCATGGCAACTCTACTCATGTGACTCTTGTTATCCCTAATCAAAAGTCCCCCCAGTGGTTCACACCCCGGACCTGGGGTTTGTATGCTTGTCGGGGGGGAGAAGAAGGGGTGCTCCTCACTGTGTGTAAACAGGTCCCCAAGAGGTCCCCTTTGCCCATCGGTCCTCTAGGAGAATTGGCCCTCCCACCTAAAATTCTTCCTAATCCTCTGACTCCTACTAGGACCCCTCAGGCTGACCCCCCTCACCCCTCTATTATGGGACTGCTCCGAGCTATCCATGGTGTTGTCAACTCCACCCGGCCTGACCTAGGGCCTAGTTGCTGGCTGTGTATAGATGCACAGCCTCCATACTATGTGGGAGTGGCAGTTAATGGTTCTGTTTCCCATAGCTCAGACTCTGAGAATTGCCGGTGGGAACAACCTAGGTTGACCCTCAGCGATGTCCAAGGCAAAGGTACCTGTCTTACCTCATCCTCCTCATCCCTGGAAACTTCTCCTTACTCTCCTATCTGTAATAGTACTGTGGTTGTTCCAGAATCCTCCTCCTCTTTTTATTCAGCGCCATCCGGCACTTGGTGGGCCTGTCTAGATGGGATTACACAGTGCATCTCTGCTGCGGTGTTCCTGAAGGAATCTGAGCCTCTATGTATATTAGTCTCCATTATCCCCCAGGTCTCCCTTCTGCAGGGCCCGGAGGGTTGGGAGTACTTTGCCCATGATGGCAGTGTGTCCTACCGAAGCAAGCGAGCTGTTCCCCTCCTCATCCCTATCCTCGTAGGGTTGGGGCTAGTGGGATCAACCGCTGTAGGTACCGCTGCCTTAGTCCAAGGAGAGGCCAGTTACCGGGAACTTAGTGCTCAGGTCGACGTTGACCTCAGTCATCTGGAGCACTCTATATCCCAACTGGAGAGACAGGTCAACTCCTTGGCCGAGATGGTTCTGCAGAACCGGAGGGGTCTAGACTTATTGTTTCTCAGGCAGAGCGGCTTTTGTGCTGCCCTCGGGGAGGCCTGCTGTTTCTATGCCAATAACTCAGGTGTAGTTCAGGAGAGCCTTTCCCTGGTATGGAAAAATATTGCAGACAGGCAGAGGGAACGAGAAAGGAGTGAAAATTGGTACCAGAGCCTGTTTCGGACTTCCCCATGGTTAACTACTCTTATTTCTGCCTTGGCCGGGCCTCTGCTCCTCCTCGCTATAGCCCTAATTTTTGGTCCTTGTCTGGTTAATCGACTCCTTGACTTTGTTAAATCCCATATTAATTCAGTTAAGTTACTATTGGTCAGAGATCCCCGCTATCAGCCGCTGGCATCCGCCTCCTTTGCACCCTACAATGATGCAGCCCCCATCACGTCAAGGGTTTGATGTGGTACACAAAAGAAGTGGGAAATGAAGTACTGAACTCCATGTGCTGAACTCCATTTTGTTTTCTGACCTCCATCTTGTATGCCCTCCTTCACGGAAATAGGAGTTCCCGCCTTAGAAGTTCCTGCCTTAGAAATCCCGCCAAGAAGGATATCTGCCCCAGTCTATTTCATGATCCTTATATGGTCCCAAAAGCAGGATTAACCAATCGCTTGTTTGGCTTCTGTAACTTCCTGCTTATGCAACCCCTGACCGTTTAGTCTGTGGCTTCTGCCTTTATTAACCCAAGCTGTACCCCTGATCGGGGCTGCTCGATCTGGGTGTATACCCCTTGCAGCCACGCACTAATAAATCCACATTTCAAATTGTGTCTGGGTCTTGCTTGCTGAGTTTACGGTACAACAGGATATTTTTTGGAATTGTCCTTTTTTAGGATTGGGATGTAAACTGATCTTTTCCAATCCAGTGGCCACTGTTGTGTTTTCCAGATTTGCTAGTATATTGAGTGCAGCACTTTAACAGCATCATCTTTTAAGGTTTTAAACAGCACAGCTAGAATTCTATCACCTCCACTAGCCTATTGTTAGCAGTGCTTCCTAAGGCCCACTTGACCTCATTCTCCAGGATGTCTGGCTCTAGATCAGGGACCACTCCATTGTGGTTATTGGTAATGTTAAGATCTTTCTTGTATAGTTATTCTGTGTATTCTTGCCACTTGTTCTTAATCTCTTCTGTTTCTATTAAATCACTACCGTTTTTGTCTTTTAACATGCCCATTTTTGCATGAAATGTTCCCTTGATATCTCTAATTTTCTTGAAGAGAGCTCTTGTCTTTCCCATTCTATTGTTTTCTTCTATTTCTTTGCATTGCTCGTTTCAGAAAACCTGATCTCCTCACAGTTCTCTGGAATTGTGCATTCAGTTGGATATATCATTCCCTATCTCCTTTACCTTTCATTTTCCTTCTTTCCTCAGCTATTTGTAAATCCTCATCAGACAGCCATTTTATTTTCTTGCTTTTCTCTTTTTCTTTTTTTTTTAATAGTATTTTAGGTTTTTTTCCCCCCAGACAATTTTTAGCATTCATTTTTACATTTGAGTTCTACATTTTTCTCCCTCCCTTCCTCCCCTTCTCTTTTCCTAAAATGGTAGGCAATTTGATATAGGTTATACATGTGCTATCATGTAAAACATATTTCCATATTTGTCACTGTTTTGAAAGATTTCTCTTCTTTGGAATGTTTTTTGTTCTGCCTCCTATATAGTGCTTTGTCTGTAGTTCTTCAGGCATTCTGTCTACCAGATCTAATCCCTTAAATCTATTCATCACCTCTACTTCGTATTCATAAAGGATGTTATTTAGATTGTACCTTTATGGTCTGATGGTTTTCCTTACTTCAATTTAAATTGAATTTTGCAATAAAAAGCTCATGATCTGATCCACAGTCAGCTCCAGGTCTTGTTTTAACTGACTTTATAGAGCTTTTCCACCTTTGGCTGCAAAGTATATAATCAGTCTGATTTCTGTGTTGACCATCTGGTGATGTCCATGTGTATAATTGCCTCTTGGGTTGTTGGAAGAGTGTTTGCTATGACCAATGAGTTACCTTGACAAAACTCTATTAGTCTCTGCCCTGCTTCATTTTGTCCTCCAAAGCCAAATTTGCCAGTTATTCCAATTATTTTTTGATTTTCTACTTTAGCATTCCAATCCCCATGATGAATGTGCCATCTTTTTTTGGTGTTATTTCTAGAAGATATTGTAGGTCTTCATAGAACTGATCAACCTTGGCCTCTTCAGCGCCAGTGGTTGGAGCATAGATTTGTATTACTGTGATGTTGAATGGTTTGCCTTGGATTCAAACAGATAGCATTCAGTAATTTTTGAGATTATATCCCAGTATTGCTTTTCTCACCCTTTTATTGACTATGAGGGGTACTCCATTTCTTCTTTTTTTATTTTATTTTTTTAAATTTATTTTTTAAAATTAATTTATTTTGAATTATCAACAATCACTTCCATAAGCTTTTGAGTTTTAAATTTTTCTCCCCTTTCCTCTCCACCTCCCTCCCCAAGACAGCACGCAATCTGATATAGGCTATACATACACATTCCTATTAAACATATTTTCACATTAGTCATGTCGTAAGTAAGAATTAGAACCAATAGGAGGAACCACAAGAAAGAGAAAACAACAAAACGGAAGAAAAAAAAATAGCAAATAGCATGCTTCAATCTGCATTCCTTCTTTGGATGTGGATAGCATTTTCCATCATGAGGCCTTTGGAGATGTCGTAGATCCTTGTATTGCTAAGAAGGGTTAAGTCTATCAATATTAGTCATCGCACAATGTGGCTGTTACTGTGTACAACGTTCTCCTGGTTCTGCTCACTTCACTCAGCATCAGACCATACAAGTCTTTCCAGGTTTTTCTGAAGTCAGCCTGTTCATCATTTCTTATAGCACAATAGTATTCCATTACATTTATATACCACAACTTGTTCAGCCATTCCCCAACTGATGAGCATCCTTTCAATTTCCAGTTCTTTGCCACCACAGAAAGAGCTGCTATGAATATTTTTGTACATGTGGGTCCTTTTCCCATTTGTGTGATCTCTCTGGGATATAGCCCTGGAATACTCCATTTCTTGTAAGGGATTCCTTGCCACAGTTGTACTGATCATCTGAATTAAATGCACTCATTCCTGACCATTTAAGTTCATTGACACCTAAGATGTGGATATTTAATCTTTCCATTTCCTGTTTGACCTCATCCAGCTTACCTTGGTTCATAGATTTTACATTCCAGGTTCCTATGTAACACTGATCTTTACAGCATCAGACTTTCCTTTCGTGACCAGATGCATCCACAGCTGAGCTAACTTTCGCCTTTTGCCCAGCAGCTTCATTGATACTAAAGCTTCTTCTAGTTGTCCTCTGTTTTTCCCTACTAGCATATTGGACACCTTCCAACATGAGGGTCTCATCTTCCGATGTCATCTCTTTTATCATTTTTGTACTATCCATGGGATTTTCTTGGCAAAGATACTGGAGTAGTTTGCCATTTCCTTCTCCAACAACATTTTACCCAGTTATATACCAATAAGTTGTAACAATCTAAGTGAAATGGAAGAATGCTTACAAAAACATAAACTGTCAAGATTAACAGAAGAAGAAGTAGAATATCTAAATAAACTTATTCTAGAAAAAGTAATTTGAACAGGTCATAAATGAGCTTCCTAAGAAAAAAGCATCAGGACCAGATGGCTTGGTGAATTCTACTAAACATTTAAAGATCAACTAATTCCAATTTTAGATAAATTATTTGGAATGATAGGCAAAGAGTCTTACCAAACTCTTTTTATGAAACAAATATGGTACTTATACCTAAACTGGGAAGAGGAAAGAAAGAGAAAGAAAATTATAGACCAATTTCACTAATGAATATTGATGTAAAAAAAATCCTAAATAAAATACTAAGCTAGGAGACTACAGCTCTATATCACAAAGATTATACGTTGTGATCAAGTAGTATTTATACCCGAAATGGAGGGATGGTTCAAAATAAGAAAAACTCTTTACAGAATTGATTATATCAATAACAAAAGTAACAAAAATCATATCAATAGATGCAGAAAAAACTTTTGACAAAATACAATAATCATATGCCTATTGAAAACACTTGAAAGCATCTACCTAAAAGCATCAGCATTTTGTACAATGAGGATAAGCTTGAAGTATTCCCAGTAATATCAGGAGTGAAAAAAGGATGCCCATTATTGCAGTATTATTCAGCATTGTACTAGAAATGCTAGCAATAAAAGCAATAAGGGAAGAAAGAGAAATTGAAGGAATCAGAATGGGCAATGAGGAAATAAAATTATCTCTTTGCAGATGATATGATGGTATACTTGGAAAATCCTAGAGATTCAGCTGAAAAATTAGTTGGAACAATTAATAATTTTAGTCAAGTAACATAAAATAAACTCACATAAATTGTCAGCCTTTCTATATATCACCAACAGAGCTCTGCAAGAAGAGATAGTAAGAGGTACTTCATTTAAAATAACCATATGTAATATAAAGTACCTGAGAGTATACCTGCCAAGACAAACCCAGGAACTATATGAAAATTATAAAATACTTTTTATACAACTGAAGTCAGATTTAAATAATTGGAGAAATATTGTTCATGGATGGGCCTAGCATCAATATAATAAAAATAGTAGTTCTACCTAAACTAATGTACTTATTCAGTGCCATCCCAATTAAGCTACCAAAAATGACTTTATTGAGCTAGAAAAAATAATAACAAAATTCATTTGGAAGAACAAAGGGTCAAGAATATCAAAGGAATTAATGAAAAAAATGTAAACAAAGGAGGTCTAGCAGTACCAGATCTTAAACTGTATTACAAAGTGATAATCATCAAAACAATCTGGTACTAGCTAAGAAATAGAGTGGTGGATCAGTGGGATAGAGTAGGTATATGACACATAGTAGTAAATGATGATAGTAACTTTGTGTTTGATAAACACAAAGATCTAAGCTTTGGGGATAAGAACTTAGTATTTGGTAAAAATTTCTGGGAATGTTGGAAAGCAGTCTGGCAGAAACCAGGTATAGACCAACTGTTTACCAAGATGAGGTCAAGATGGATACATGACCTAGACATAAAGGGAGATATCATAAGTAAATTGAAGAACATGGAACATATTACCTATCAGATTTATGGATAGCAGAAGAACTTATGAATAAACAAGTGATAGCATTGTGGGATGCAAAAGGGATAATTTTGATTACATTAAGTTAAATTTTTTTTTTTTGCTTTTTAGTGAGGTAATCAGGGTTAAGTGACTTGCCCAGGGTCACACAGCTAGTAAGTTACAGTTCTGACCCCAGAGAGTTGGGTGATCTTAGCATCATCACTTTGCCTCTCTGGGCCTTGGTTAGCTCTCTGAGAAACTGAAGGCTCTTCCAGAGCTGATGTACCATGGTGTGATTACATCTCTCTGGTCCAGGGCAAATTTTGATTTGATTGTAGGTTGCCAAGGCACAGATCAGTCTGATGTGGATAGTAACATAAGCTAGGCCTTTAAAAAAAATCAAATTGTGTTTCATAATATCTACCATTAAGTAATGCTTTAAGATTTGCAAAGTGCTATACGTATATTACCAACTGATCCTCACAGCAACCTTGGAAGGTAGATGCTATTATTATCCCCATTTTACAGATGAAGGAACTGAGGCACAGAGAAGTTAAGAGACTTTCCCAGAGTTACACAACTAATAAGTGTCTGAATCAGGATTCGAACTCGGGTCTTACTCCAAGGTCACTGCTCTGTGCCACCTAGCTTGATTAAGTTG